GCAACTGCTAATTCAATACATTCCCCACCTACGACTGATTTTTTTTAAGTTGAAATATTCTTTAACCGGGCGCTATATTCAACCGGGTAATATATTCTCACCTGTCTGTGGTCATTGCGAACGGACACGGCTAATTTGTACATTGATTGCCCCTTTGTTTTTTGCCGATATCGAAGATGGCGCCGCGGTTGGTGTCCAATACTCCATTGGTTGCCACTCAAGCAGCAAACGTGCTGCTACTAGCACCAAAGACACCTATTTTTATTTCAAACGCAAGTACACCATACGCTTCGGATTGTCGTAATAACCGAGACAAAGACGGCTAGTCGAGTGGGAGGATCTTCGCTTAATGTATTGTTAAATAAATTTCTCTTTTGTCTATTTCATTGGCTCGAAAACGCTGCGGTGGTTGGTGGTCATTAACATCTAATTTTTAGATTGTTACGATGGATTTGGGATTCTTGGTGAATTCGAATCGTACGAAGTTTGTGATGTTTTAGTGGCGAGTCAACGAAACTGGAGGAAGTACAATAGACGTGTCCTTGGGATGTCCTGTAATCACGCTAATAATATCCACCCACGTATTAGGTTTAAGTGCGGCATGACATCACGCCGTCAAACTTTTTTTCGAATCAAACGAGAGAAGAAATCATTTATTTTAATTACGCTTCCTGTTGTGGAAGCGGCAGCGCCCCAACGGAAACGTGAAACAAAAGCGATCGCTTTTTTTTTAATTCGAGACTAAAAATGTGAGGCAAAAAAACTTTAAATACCAGGAATTACTAATGTTTTTTTTACCTGTCCAACTTAGAACTTGATGTTATAATTAATATTCTTGAGGTAGATTAATGAATGAAATTTTAAAAAAGATATAAAAATTCTGCTGAATCTACATCATGTCCTGTAACACATATCAGCATCCTATAAAATTTTTAGCCCGAAGTCATTTGCTTTTACTTTTCTATTCTTTCGTAAAACTATAATAGTTAATAATTTTTGTTTACTGTTTTCTTTAATTAAATCTACTTTCCTTCAAACTATTTTGATCTGTTATAATTACACCTTACCTTGTTTATATACTGATTAAATGATTAATGAAACAATTTAATGATATAGTCTCCTTATATGATTTATTACGGATATTTAATAGAGAAAAGAAATATTTTTTGTTTATTTTCGTGTAATAACGGCCAAATCGATATTAGGAATAAGAATAGAAAATTAATTTGTTCTTGATTAATAAATCATAATTAAACTATTAAAAGAGTCTTGAATGAAATTAGTCAACAAAAAATTTTATTCTAGATATCTAATGAACAACAAATAATAAAGTTCAAAGAAGCGGATTTGTGGTTAAATTGATTGAATAGGTGAGAAAGGAAATAAATGGAAATAAAAGCCATTAGCCGATTGAACCGTGTAAATTATTTTTGATATAAATTTTCATTTAGATACTGATTGAGATTGAGGTCGACTAATTTATCGATTCCCAACAAAATTGCTTTTGTCTTATCGAATAAAACGTTATTTTTAACACGATGAGCCGACATTTTGTAAACCTCATCTTTACAAAATTTTATATGTATTATTTCATTATTCATCGTATACATAAATCTCATCAAGTTTTAAATATAATATATACCCTGCAAGAGCCCGTAAAATATATTAACCGCGTCCAAAATACTAATTAACATCTAAACAACCCCATTAAAACATTTCAGTAACAAATTATAATTCGAAGCAATTTCCGGAGTTCGCGCATTTTTACCGGTATACCTTGTTGAGCTTTTCTCACGTACGTTTCGCGTTTAATTGACTTAAATATTTCAAATCATATGCACCACTACCCTTTTGTTCGACTTTTATCTACCTGCTAGAGTTTAACCTTGCGTGACATCGCGAAGGGGTGCATTCGTCGGAATGATAATTTTAATTTCGGGGCGGTTGTACCTCATCAGCAACGATTCCCAACGGTTTTTCCACAAAAAGCGATCAACAGGTTCATAAAACCGTCGGTTAATTTTGCCGAGCAATTTTTCCAGTAATTAAAATTATTATTTATTTATTTATTTACCCGGAGCAAACGCGTGGATCATTGTAATTAGTCCAGTTCCATGCAATGATACTACATCGTATTCAACAACAAATTAAAAAAAACACAATAACATAATAATAATTAAAATAATGATAGTTAAATTATCTTAAAAATAATCTTCTAGCATCAATTATATCCCTACCTTAGTAGCTACTAGATAACAATGGCTGGCGCGGATAGCACACGTCAGTAATTAGCAGAGAAATCTGGGTTATTTTTAGTGTTCACGGCTCTTGATTTCGGATTGATGTGTATGGAAAATGCTAAGCATACAGTTCTTTAATTGTCGTAAAATGCTCCAGTGGATTTCTTATGCGATTTTGATGGGACTTGTTCTAAACTATTAAAGGGGGTGAATACATCTTCTACTTGATAATTTTCCTTTACGAAAAAGAGAAGGAGAAGGAGTATATCATTCGTTAATTTCTTATGTTATATGTGTAGATAACTTTTCTTCCAGCCGATCGTAAACAAAAACGTTCGATTCTAACAAGCGTGGATTCGTGGGTGGTATACGGCATAAATAAATTGTCAACAATGGCGTTATTAAATAAAATAGTGGATATTGTCGATCAATTATCGGTAGGGGCATTATACGAAAGACGTAATATTTCATCTCATTGTATACAGCGGTCTCGTCTGTATAACTCCGTTGTTCGGGTTAGTCGTACAGCGACGTTCATATAAATAAAAACCTCCATATTTGTTATAAATAAAAATATTAATGTTCCCATATACAATACTAGATGTTTGAATTGCAAGTGAAGTAAATACAATGAGTATCTTATATAATATTTTATTTATACGATTGCTCATTTAAGATGAGATGTACATGTAAATAATTAGGTTGTAAAATTTTGTAAATAATTTTGTTTTGTAATTATAAGATTTCCGACGTTCATGAGTTCACCGTGTCTCAAAACAGGTGAGGGCTCGTGCTTCGTAAATCTACGAGGTAGCTGTAGCCTATGAAACGGGCAGCCACCCGTGCGATATTTGGTTCGGTCGGCAGCACCCGTTACTTATACCTGGGCCGATGACTCCTTAACAATATATTATATCACGAACACCCAATATTATATTCTTAAAGTGGATGCATCAACCACAAGGCACGAGCTACTAAATAATAACTATTGCGATGTCCGATTCACAGAACGACACGAAACCGAACGGTTTCCGTTAAAAATATACCAACTTGTAATTAGAGCAGAAGTATCTACTTGCATCACTTTTTGCTGTAAAATTACAGCAAAAATCGACTCTTCGAAATTTAATTGCGAAATACCATCCATCGCGAAAAATAAAACAATCAATTGAAACGTTATAGGTCTAGAAGAAATTCGATCAATTTTTTGCATCTATAATTATTATTTACGATTGCGATTTCACAAAGTCCCCAGACAGACGAAATCCTTCGGACAACCCATCGGCCACGCAAATCCCGCCCAATTACCTCACAGTTTTCAACGTAATAATCGGTTTCCTGCGAGAATATAAAAAAACGCACGAAGAGACCATCTCGATCGTTATCATCTTTAAATCTCGTAACGAGGCACAAGCCAAGTCGGATCCTATGAATGATTCGAAACAGTCGTTTGAATGAACTCTTTAATGGGACATTATTATCATTAAAAGAACGACGAGGAGAGACGTAGCGGTTTTTTTAATTCGAAAATGAGACGGAGATGCAACTGAAATAATCTCACAGGGGCGGTGTTAACCTTCATCCAGGATTAAAGGTAGCCCAATAGGCTTAATCCTGATGTTAATCCTGATGTCAATTTTAAAAAACGCTAATTTGCTAGTATCAAAATTAGTCTATTTTTCCAACAATCCATGTGTTGTAGTTATAAAAGGATTGTGGATTTGGTTTGTATTACATTTTCATTTAGAGCGTTGGAAAATTTGGGTTTTTGCGCGCCACTGACGGTGGACGATGAGCACGTGCTACAGGATATGCGTGGTGTTCGGTTCCGGAGTTTGCTCGTGCCGGTGGTTACACACACCTCCGGGAGTACGAAGAGTTTATGAACCTCCGAGCGGTTCTTCTGCGATCCGCGTCTTTAATAACGCTAACTGAGCTTTCATAATCCTTAAATTTCGGCGCGTTGCTTTAATTTCGAATCCAACTTTAATTAGTTCGAGGTGTAATTCTGAATGTTCGTTTTGTAATAACGTTATAGCGTAATAAAATAGTAATGAGTGTGTACGTACGGCAAGGTTTGTTTGTGCAGCTCGTTCTGAAAATTCTATTATGTCAAAGTGTGGCCTCAGTCAGGATGAGTGATGTTATAGAATAATTATGGTTTCCTGTTGGTTCACTGTACCTAATTATGGTTACCTACTATAAAACGTTTATTACCGAGTATTTTTTTTAATCTCGAGGTGACTCATTATAACAATAGGAGCTTTAAATATCATATAGTGTCAAACTATATGCAGAGTTAATTCCATTTCTAGATATTACTATGTTTAGTCGATGACAAGGAAAAGCAATTTCTAACGTAAAAAATATTTAAATTATACCGGCATTACTAAAACCAATTTACCACGTGTCGTTTATCGGCTGTACATCAAAAATGATAACGACTTGTTTTAAGATATTGATATTGACGTGAGCGAACGTTAGAAGAGGCTCGGGGCAATTGTTGACAAGTATGTTAAAAAGTTCGATTACGTACCATTTGCATATATGCTAATCGGAGGCTTCTACTGCGCATTAAACGTTTCAAAAAAATGTACCAACTGGGCGAACAAATTAGAAATGTTACCATACCTATCAATTTCGTCGCGCATTTTGCTCTTCGTATCCTCAACACCTCCTTGCAGGTTTACAAATCAAATAATAAATGTACATCAAGAGTAATTCGTTTATTTTAAAAAACTACTTTAAAAAAATTTGGTTTGATGAACTGCTACTTTCTAGCCAGTTTACCAACAAACAAGCGATATATGGTCATATTTTTTAGACATCCCCCACAAAACAATAACATCCTGTCAGTAGACGAATAATCTCCATCGAGCGCTGGACCACTTTCATCCACTTTTGTACAGCACGTATGCTGTGGGCCCCAAAAAGAAATAAATGAAATTATTCGATTCGTGCGTAATGTAACAGGAGAAGTTCTTGCCGACTGCACAGTGCCACGTGGCGCAGTACTTTTTATCGAACTCCTTCTTTATGTAAGCCGCTTGGTCTCTTTCGACATTGTACAGAAACATCGCTTGCATGGCCAACGATACAGCGTCTTTCTGCATTGCTTCACACATATCGGCACTTTTGACACAAACTTGCGGGCAACACGGAGGTGGTGGACCTGATGATACGTAACATGGTTGCGGTTCCCGACAGGCCATATTTAATAATTTTTATAGTTGCTTTTATTTTTATTTCAACGTAGCACTTGGAATTTTTAAGTTATGAACAGTTTCAAATGACTTTTAATTTGATTATTTCAAAAAGCCTGTCAATAAATTTGTCAAGTAATTTAGAAAAAAGAGCACCCTAGATACTATTAATAATTAACCTCAGTTTGATGTTAATCTTCAAATTGCACTTGCACTAAAAGCATCTTGCAATACATCCGTTATTTTTTTAGTAACACTTCGAAATAGGTATAGGTATGTGGAGTCTAATTATTTTTAAGACACCTTACCCACTTCCTTGTGTATTGTGATATATCTAATAAACAAAATTACTTTCGAACGGACGACGCACAATGTTCTAATAAATTATAACTAGAAAGTTACTTTATTGTTTCTGTTTAACGAATTGCCCGGTTTAGTGAATTATCGTTATTGTAATCCGGCATACCGACACCTCCTCGTAAGAAATAAACTCAACAATTGCGCTTATTATCTTTGTGCTAGTTGATTGTGGGCTCATTTCCATAAAATCGACGCCGAAGGAATGTCGAACTGAAGATTAGTTGAAAATTTAGTGCCTTCTCTTTAAGTCTCAATTCAACATTCGAATTGGAATCTATTGTGGGTTATAAACAAACAGTTTCCATTTATACAACCAACTATTATAAAACCGATTGCAATTTTATCGCCTTTTCTTCATTTTCTTCTTCCATTCATTACGAACACATTCACACGTCAATGAACAGAAGTGTATTTTCAATTTCTACCGGTGGGATTCAATTCGAAACTTAATAGTATCGAGAATTAAATAATTGTATTGCGATATCGGTGTCGATTGGTAAAAAATGTATAAATAGAAACTATTGAATGAAAATAATATCATCGATTTAAACATACGAACAATTCGATCAAAAGTAAAAAAATATTTTCTATTATAACCCACTCGAATGAAATTGTAAAAACATATTGATTTTTTGCCGTTATGTTTTGTAATGAAGGTGTTTTACATTACCTATACACAACGTAGAATTAATCAACAATTCCCAACTTTCCATCGTTCTATCGTTCCAGATGCATCCCCACCGCTAATTCAATCGTGTATTAATTTCATTGCAACTTTCCTGGCAACTTTAACGACGTTGGTTAAATAAAATTCGACATGGAATCGCAAAGTTTTGATTGCACACACGCCGGACGAGGTGATTTCGAATTCGGGTGGAGCCAGATTTACGATGTCATGCTTAAAAGGACACTACTGGTGTAATAATAAGCAGTATTTACGATGATGAGGTACTGTACCGCGTAGTATTATAGATAAATAATTTCTCGGATCTCAAAGGATATTTACTATCTCGACGGGTATAAACTATAACATAAAGTGTATTTAAGAGCGAGTAGGTTTTATGGGGTATTTATTGGATTGGTGAAAAAATCTGTTGAAAGTTATTTGAGTGTGTTTTGACACGCGAAAGGATATTATTTTATATTTATCTATTAATATCTTTACTCTATTTTAAGATTAAATCGTATAAACGCAAAAATTTCTCGTATTACAGCAATAAATTGTGTTATATACCCAACACTCTTGTCTTATTACAAAGCTATAAATCAATTAATGTTGTGAATTCAACGTGTTAATAATAAATGTGTAACAATAATACCAAGATATTGTCAAATCAAATATTTACGAAACAGTTTCACTCAGAAATTATAATTAACAAATATTGTGAACAGTTTAGGAATTCCGTTTAATTAATGTTATAAACATGCACAGTAAATTAAACTCTGCTCTATGTATTCAAAGCATGACTATTTTAGTTGAATGGAAAGTGACCTAAAACAACTTGATGAATTGCATCGGTAGATGCGTGCAAATCCTATATACGAAGACTTTTTTTATTTTGTATAGTTAACAAAAGCAACGACCATTACCTAACATGCTTTATTCGAAACATATCGACTAAAAAATGTATTTGATTTCAGCATTAAAATTATTATACCTATAAAGATTAAATATCCATGTAGATGATTACTAACGTTGAACTTTTATAGAATATAGAGTGTGTATTCGAATTGAACAGTTTTGTACAAGAAAAATTAGATCTAATTTTTATGGCTTCGGTATTAATATGCAAAATATTTTAAATATGCAAGCGTATGACTTATAAGGAATGCCGATGCATGTATGTCGGGTCAAAGGCCATCGCTGAAACTATCTCACGTCCATTCACTGATCGTAGACCATATAATATCTGCCACAGCTACATCCTTTACCGAATGTCCACTTTACATGACACTTCTGGGTATGTCCTTGTTCCCCTGATCCGGTTTTCTGCATCGCTAGTCCAGTCGTTAGAATGGGATTTTTGTTTGCGCGACTCTATAATTATGTTACTTAAAATTAATCGAAATACGAGTCTGATTGTTCGTTGGAAATAATCGGCGTTTCAGTTAATTCTCTCGTTAACTGATTTTAAAATTTACTCCGCATCTGTTGAATTATTCTTTAATTACAACGGACCTTAATGTATGTGCATACGAAATAAGCGACTTGGTCAGTGGCAGGCCGTTACGCTCTCTGATTTTAGAATGCGATAAAAATGATCTTTGTTATTTTAATTTTTTCATTGTCTCTTTCCCCCGTACGCGCCGCATCCACTACTACCCCTTTATTATAATTACGGGACAAACATACTCGTATCACCGCTTATTTTCTGGAAAAAGTCGTTATTTACATAATGCTTTTGAATAATAAAACGCGGAATTATTTTCACCCTCGAATTTGAATTTTTACAACATGCGAAGTATAATGTACCTAGTTAGAGAAATTCGCTACTTTCTCGTTTTCGTAATACTTAAATTTAATTAATTAACGCTTCAATGCTGCGAGTACTCTAAAAAGAAAATGAATATTTCAATTCGAAATTAAATTTACATTTCTATAATGAGAAAGTAATATCCAAATTTGTCGATTTTATGTTTGAAAATATATCGGTAATAAAATCGGCTTTAACGAGTTCGATCCGATTCACGGTCGAGTTTGTGGGTTTCTATTCAGGTGCTCAGCATGTACTACAAACTATAATTGTTTTTACACATGCATGTACTTATATCAACATCATCTATATCACTTCCGTCACGATAAGAACATTAAAATAGGTTGGTTCATAAATAGTGGCCGGAGAATAGCCGGAACTGGGCCGGTGCATCTCAACAAATAATACACTTTGTATTCCAATGGGAATTAATTTGAATTTATGTTTCAGCTCCCTCCTTTACAGCGCCAAAACGCTATTTTCTAATTTACCGCTTCGCGCCGATTTCATCACCAGGAAGCGCCCAATTCGGAATCAGCGCTTCAATTTTCGTGGATTCGCCACGGCCTGATCGATTCGTCCGCGCATCCCATTGTTCTGAGTATGAATGAAAATGAAAAAACCAACGGATCTGCATCCACGTTCGATCGCAACTCGCATGGAAGGAAGCACTTGGGTGGCTTTTAGCGTGAAGAAGGCACACTTCGGGTAGGTCAGGGTCGAGGGTAGTTCGGATCACCGGCCATCCGAGGAGCGTGAACTACTGGTGTGAAATCAACTAACAGTTTAGTGTGTGGTCACTGTAGAGCGATCAAGGGTAGCTCAGACACATCATCTACTATTTAGTATTGGCGATACCAAAAATTATTCATCATTCCGGTCAACAAAAACTATAGTATGTACACTAAGCATTATATGTAATTTGTATACATGCATATTCAAATGGTGCAAAGATAATAAAAAAAATAAAGATGTTGGTAAATCTACTGCTTGAAAAATATGAGATTTGTAATCAATCCTGCGAAGGATATGCGTAAGTATCGCTGATACTATCAATGTTTGCTATCAATGCCGCCGATGTGTAAAAATCATTGTTGGTCATCATTATCTGATTCACTGATTCACTAATTTTCATTTCGGATCCGTCTAGCCGGTTGATTTCGATTGTTCTTGACTTTGGTCTAGGCCAATATGTTATGAAATCCATTTCACCACTTTCCTCGGATGATAAATTTTAATTTATCTGTACAGCAAGTACACATTATTGTCCTAAGAGTTTTTGAAGAACTTGAATAGAGTGTTCCGATAGTTTCTAGCAAATGATCCCAGGAGATGTTTTATTTATCTTTGAACAGATTCTACACGTGCCGCAATCTCACGGCAATTAATTCATCATCGAATTAAACGTTGTTGTCTAGGCTAAATGAATGTTTTTTTCTGGAAAAATTGTTGTTTAACGCTGCACATACGGCGAACAATCGTTGTAATTTTTCTCACACTTCTATTAAGGCGACGTTGAAGCGTGACCAGACTTGCGGTTTTTTCGATTCGAATATCAGTTGTCAGTTTAAATACATGTAGAGAGTAGTTGAAATTAGATAAACCGCAACATTGTAGATTGCTTTTCTATTTAAAACTCGTAATAAATAGAAAACAGATTACTTGTACTGAATGGAATTAAAAACAGGGAGGAAAATCGTGGGATAAAGTCGCGACAAAAAAATATCCATAATTAGGATAATTTGTAATTCGAATGAAAATGACGTTCCGAAACCGAAAAAATTAAATCTTTTATAATTCAAATTAGAGCTTAATGTGCATATCCTGGCGTTCCCATTCGAGTAAGCCAGACTAAAAAATATTCTTTCCTCCGGACGATGTGACACACAAGGGCTAGAGGGCCGGCCAGTTCCGGTGGAGATTGGACACGACCATTGAGAAGAACCGGCCACTGTGACGGAACTTCCGCCGCTCCGGACAGGTATTCGCTATACTGTACCTTTCTCTTCTCGTCTTCGGCGGCGGGCGACGTTGCCGTTCGCGTTTTTTAACTAATTTGGCGAATTATGTACACTCGCGGGAGATCATAAAAAATGTTTCTGCTTTAATTGGCAAAGCGTATTTTTTAATTAACGCGCGAATTGTTACTAATAAATTACCGAATTAGTAATGCAATTACGGTGTACTACCGGTTACGCTTCGATTGTATTACGAAAATATTTTCATCCTCGTTTTATAACGTCCAGCGAGAATTCGATTTTTAT